TATATATATATATGAAATAAAATAAAAAATATTTTTCCTTTTGTATTCTCTCTCCTTTCCATTTCTGAAATATTTTATAATGGCATTCCTTATAAATTACAAGTCACAAAATATGCAATGAATAATTACTTTTGTATCAAATTTGATGACCTTGATGGTCAACTTATGATCAAATTGACTGTTACTAAATCTTTGAACAAATTAATAAATCTTTGAACAAATTAATACCATTTAAAATCATTAATATCATAATTTAATACTATTCATGTTTGTCAAGAACAGTGAGCTGGCCCTATGTTAATATTACATAATCAATGAATAGCTAGTGATAAACAAAGGGCAATCATATGATGTTATTATGGTAAGCAAAAAATAGACGATGCTAAATGATCTGAGTCTTAAAAATTTTGTCACGAACAAAGCTTCCTCTATGAGGAAGCAAAAATGAATTAGTCGTCCAAAAATTTAAGATTCCTGTGTCTTCACTGCAGCCGACAACTGCTTTTTTTATTATCCTGCATTAATAAATGCATATATAATTTATTAATTCATTTACATGTGTTCTACATTTTCAGCAAAAAAGAACCTAACAATTTGAACAAGATTTACAGTTATTTATTAATTCATGAAACAAAAAGAGAGTTTTCGGCATATTTTACTATTCTACATTATCAAATACAAGTGGTTTCATCAAAAAACTTATTTATTTCAGTTTGACGTCAATAAAAGATCAGAAGATATATTTCATAAATTCTTAAAAAATATAATGTATAAATGCTAATGCCTATTCTTCAAAATATACATCAATGACAAAATGTCAATGGCTTTGCAACAATATAGATACATATATCTTTGATAGACTATATAAAAAAATTCTCAAGAAAGAGAATTTGAAAATGTATCAAGATTAAAGGCACTTCGAACATTTTAGATAAAATAAAAATAATAATAAAGAAAAATAAATAAATCACGGCGCATTTTTCATCTGCACTAATTATAATATCAAAAATAAAAGTCATTGAAAATGCTAAGTGTGTGTTCTTTTTTACTCCCTTATCTTGTATAGAAATTATCTTATATCGCTTCCTTTCCATTTCACTATTACTTATGGGACATCCTATATATATAACTATAATGTTAATGATATACATTGATATTCCAGCTAATATTTTCTTGTTATACGGCATTCCAATGGATATAAACAAGCTAACGCGTTTATATATTGCACATTAACTCAATAGTTTGTTTCCATGTGTATAAAAAACATGGAAAGACAGACAAATAAACGATTTATTATGCTAATCTTTGTAAACACACTATGTAACAATTTTTAACAAAATGGAATGCATTCATTGTTATAACATATGAAATTTTAATTTTTTTTTTTTATATAAAATTTCGATTTTATTATATCATATAAAATATATATAAAATTTTATAATAATATTTATAAAACTTTACATTATATTTTAGGTTACGTAGTGTATAATTTGGAACATTAATGCCATTTACAATTACGGATTATAATTATGTTCAAATTTCTCTATAATATTTCAGAAATGTATCTTTAATGCTATCTACACTAAAGAGTCAAATTTCTTTGTAATATTTAACTGTATTTTCCTACACAATTAATAACTTTTGTGCTAAACTGCATTATATTGTGCAATAATAGAAAAAATCGCTTAACCACACGTCATAGAGTTTCTTTCTATATATAAATATAAGTTTTTTTAAATAGATTACATATAAAAAGTAATAAGATAAAAATATTTAGTTGCTATTTATGTTTTTTAATAAAAAGATTATATTTTGTTTGAAGTATGATATCCATAATAGTATGACGTTTAATAGCATAAAAAGTACTTTGCTAACATAAATCATAAGCATAATATTAATATCAATATCAAAATCAATACTGCATCATTTTGCGATATTAAAAACAATTGTATTAAAAACGAGTCGGTACAAATGCTATTATGTTTTTGCGCTTAAATTCTTGGAATTAATTGACTCGAGGCGACCTCCTTTTACCTTTGTTAATACATGCTGCGTTAAATGATATTTTATCGTGTATATGTGATGTACGTTAGTGCATACAGTGACATCTATATAAAACATGGATCTCAATGTAACTATATATTCAAACTTCCAGAGGCAGTTCTTTATTATTGTGTCCCACTCGAAACGTTTAGAAGCCAATTGCTTGGATATGTTGAGTAAGGTACTAAGTTACAAGGTGAGCAAGATGTTTGTTCTTTTCAGTATCGTTGCCATAATCGTTCCGATACAATCAGACAGGCAATCTTTACCGAAACAGTATAGTAATCTGTACGGTGATGAGAATATATCGAATTTATCAAATTTACTCGGGATGGGTATCGGAGTCCTGAACTTTCTGGAACAAGGCCAACATTATCTAAACCAGGAAATACCGGAGACGACTCCTGAATCTGGAGATGTATATGATTTTGTGGTGGTTGGTGCTGGCACGGCCGGTGCCACGGTAGCCGCGAGATTAAGTGAAATTCCTCAAGTCAAGATATTGCTAATCGAAGCTGGATCCAACGAGAATATTCTCATGGACATTCCGCTAGCCGTTCATTTTCTACAGCTAAGTAATGATCTTAATTGGAAATATCAAACAAAGCCGTCCAATAGATATTGTCTCGGTATGAATAACAACAGGTGTAACTGGCCTAGAGGAAAAGTGATGGGCGGTAGCAGCGTGCTAAACTACATGATTGCTACCAGAGGCGGCGCCGAGGATTACGATCGCTGGGCTGAAATGGGGAATGAAGGTTGGGCTTACAAAGATGTTCTCAAGTACTTTAAGAAATTGGAAACAATCGATATTCCGGAATTACAATCGGATACTACATATCATGGAACTAAGGGACCATTGCACATTAGCTACCCGTTATTTCATACACCATTAGCAGAGGCTTTCGTAGAAGCTGGCAAAGAGCTAAAATATCCACTGGTAGATTACAACGGAAAAAACATGATAGGATTTTCATATGTGCAGAGCACAATTATGAATGGCACCCGCATGAGCAGTAATAGAGCATACCTGTATCCCATACACGATCGTAAAAATCTTCACGTGACTCGTCAGAGTATAGTGAGAAAAGTGCTAATCAATCGTCGTACAAATCGTGCGATTGGTGTAGAGTTTACTAAATATGGTCGAATTATCTCCGTGCTCGCCAGCAAAGAAGTGATATTGTGCACAGGTGCAATTGGATCGCCTCAGTTGCTAATGCTGTCCGGTATTGGACCGGCTGAACATCTTACCAAACTCGGTATAGATGTTATACGAAATGCGCCGGTCGGGGAGAATCTAATGGATCATGTGGCCTTCGGCGGACTGACGTGGACGGTGAATGCATCAGTAGATATAAAAATGCAGGACATAATAAATCCTACTCATCCGTATGTAGGGGATTTCCTAATGAGACGATCGGGACCAATTACAATTCCGGGCGCATGTGAGGCTCTCGCTTTCATCAATACTAAGCATCCAGAAAAACGTAGCGGTTTGCCGGATATAGAATTACTGTTTACCGGTGGTGGTTTCAAAGGAGATCTTCTTCTTCCGACTGTAATGGGTTTAAATACGCAAATGCATCAGATATGGCATAAATATATCTATAAACACGGTTGGACCGTAATGCCAATGCTGTTGAAACCAAAGAGTCGGGGACGGATAAGATTATTAGCTAATGATGTTAACGTTAAACCTGAGATAGTGCCAAATTATTTCGATGATGTGGAAGACGTTAAGACAATGATCGCCGGTATTAAAGCTGCGATGAAGATCAGTCAAACAAAGGCGATGCAGACGTTCGATTCGCAATTATGTAATGATACTCTTCCCGGATGCGAAAACTACAGTTATGATTCCTTTGCTTATTGGGAGTGTGCGATCAGACTGATCCCATGTACCATCTATCATTACTCCGGTACTTGCAAGATGGGACCAAGGGAAGACCCAACTGCTGTTGTTGATCCCAAATTAAAGGTATTTGAAAGATACACTAAAGTATTTATAAAGAATACAGTAGATATTATTAGATACTATTAATCTACAATGTGTTTATATACATATTTATGAATTTACATAGCAATGTTCTTACAGGTAATCGATATTCAAGGACTGAGAGTAGCAGACGCATCCATCATGCCCGACATTATATCGGCGCATACAAATATACCTGTTTATATGATAGCCGAGAAAGTAGCAGATATGATCAAGGAAGAATGGGGATATTTGAAACAATCAGTATCATAATATTTTACGAAATAATTATATCAGTTTTCATGCATAATATCTTGTAGACAATTAAAGTTGCAAGTAAACAAAATGAGTACATTCAATCGATAACGAAAACAACGAATGTAAAAAATATAAAAAAAAACAAGTTTTATTTAAATTATTTGGTAAATGTTCAGATTAACTTACACCTCACGGATCGTTTTCATTTTTATATATATTATAGAGGACACGTTCCTAAGTAACATGCACTTTGAATTTTGTGGCGCTCTCTTCTAGTTTCAGAGATATGCGATTTTGAAGTATCATAATTTTTGCATTTATTTCTATGATCTTTTCACTATATCTTACTTGCGTGTTTATGTTTTTTTTTGTTTACATTTGCGATTTTGAATTATCATAATTTTCGCATTTATTTTTATGATCTTTTCACTATATCTTACTTGCGTGTTTATGTTTTTTTTTGTTTACATTTGCGATTTTGAATTATCATAATTTTCGCATTTATTTTTATGATCTTTTCACTATATCTTACTTGCGTGTTTATGTTTTTTTTCTGCTTTACACAAATACAACGTAAACAAACTTTATTTTTTCTTATTTTATAACAGAAAAAGCAATAAAACTGTGAAACTTTAAAATTGCATGTCTCTGGAACCAGAAGAGAGCGCCACAAAATTCAAAGTGCGTATTACTTAGAAATGTGCCCTCTATAATATATGTGAAAATGAAAACGATCCGCAAGGTATAAGTTAATCTGAACATTTACCTTTTCTTCATATTATATTTAAATTAAAACAATTTATTTTGTTATTACTTACTATATTTAAGTATGTTACAAGGAAAAACACAGAGATTAGAGTTACAAAAAATATTGTTTTCAAAAAAGTATATTTAATGTTTAAAGAGTCATCCTATCAAAATATTTGTTCATTATATATCAAGAAGAGAAGAAAAAAAGAGAAAAAAGATACATATAAATACAAATATCTATATGTATAAAATATTGGATGATTGCATAAGTTCGTGCCCGATTTAGTTTTTACACGAAAGAATAATACTCTAATTTTTCGACTGTGATAATTTTTTTGTACTATATCAACAAATATAGTACTAATTTGCAGACAGTAAGTTATAAGAGTATTCGTATCTTCTCAATCATTAACTTTAAATGATTGATATTTTTTAAGAAAAATAATGTTATTAAAACACAATGTGTATTAAAATTATGCTTTTATTAATATAAACTTTATCAAAAAATGATAATCCGATGTAAAAAAAAATATAAATATAAATAAATAATTAAAAACTAATACATATTACAAAAGTTATACTTTTACAGTCAATATCAAACAATTATCGATTTTATTTATAAAATATTGTTGTTGAATTGCTTTTAGATTTGAGAATATTTTTTAAACGTAAATTTTATGTTAAGCTATATATATATATATATATATATATAAATATAATATGTAATTATAATTTTTTAAATAAATTTTACTTTGTAAAATTATTGGTAAATATGATTACTTCAATGATATTTATCACATTAACCATCTGTATTGGTAATTTATATATTATTGCCGTAATTTATATATTATATATAATTATAGTAGCATATACATTTTTCATAACTCATTTCACTTTCGTGGGCAAAAATACGACCGTTCATACTGTGAACAAGTATTCGTTAGAAGACATGTGTATTCATATGAAGAAAGAAGGCCGATATATATATGTATATATTCTTGCATATAAAAATATATACATATGCATAGGGATACTTGTGTGCATCTAATAAAATAATAAAATAGTTTATACGTGCACTTTTAAAATTTCTTTACTTATATGATGTTATATATGTATTTATACTGTTATGATACCAAATATTGATATCATTATTAGTTATTATTAGTTCTCGTTCACTTTTCAAAATGTGACAAAATATAGCAAAATACATTGCGAATACATATTCCCAATATTTAAGAAGTTTGCGCTAGTAATGCTTTAATTAATATATGTACATCTAATTATTAGAGAAAAAAAACGATATAATCTTTCTCTTTCCCCTTCCCCTTTCACTTTCTCTAACAATATTCTAAAGACCGTCAATTACAGATAAATAAGGGCATACTATTCATATTCATAAACAATTTTCTCATGACTAAAATATTAAAATAAAATTAAAGTCGGGTCTTTACGTTTCTTTCTTTTTTTTTATTAATTCGAAAATATCTAAAGTGGAATCATTACTAGGCAGCCGTTACTACGCAATGTACATTCCAGCGTAAGATGCAAAATTTTAATAGGCACCAATAATTTTTAGTGTCCTGTGTGAAAAACATGTAAAAATTGACAGCGCGGTCTGCAATGACCGTCCTTATCTAATTCAATGACGCCTGGTTGTAGAATCTCGTTTAACCAGATATAAGATTTAGCAATCCTATCAATCGAGAAAGAAGTGATCAATAACCTCGATTACAAGGATATTATAGAAATATTCACAAGAGCAGAAAACATAATTTTTAAAAATTCTTTTTATTTTATTTTTTTACAAAACGTATTATTAAGAAAAAAAGTATAAAAATATATTAACCCTCAACAATATTAAAACAAATACAAAAATAAAAAATATATATATAAATTTTAAAATATAAAATATAAAAAAAAAAACAAAAAAAGGAATTTTTGAGACTACTTTTTATTTGCCTTTGCAATTTCGCGCTGGAGCGCGCAAGCAAATTCCAGCGTAGAGGCGCCTAAGCAGTTGTAATCGCCTAGAGATATCACAAGAATTACTAAAAATGGTGTGTGTGTGTGTGTGCATGTATAGGTATAAAGCATTATTTTAAGAAATATCACATAGTCTTCATAAGACAAAATGACTTATAAAGCACGTAAAAATATGATAATGTAACTTTATTATTTTTAGTGAATACTTTATGAAATGCGCGTTTTACACATTTATACATACGGTATCATGAACCATCCACACACACGCTGCGCGTACATAGAGTATATAATTTTAAATAAAACAGTAAAATATCTCAAATACACAACCAAAATTTTATGAAAAATTCCTTTAGACAAAAGTTAGAGAATTTCAAGAAAAATAATTTTTGATATTGATTCTTTGTGCCCATTTTCAAAACCATATATAATTAAAGATTAATTTTATATTTTTTAATAAAAACAATAGAATTTTTAAAATACAAATCTCTATATCTTATTATATATGCGTGTATTGTTGTTTCTAAAATATTTTCGAAATAGTATAATTAAACTCTTTTTCGTTAAAACCTTCATGAATTAAGAGCTGTAAAAGTCACAATCCGGCTCCATTAATATTATTCAAGGTAAGCCATATGGAAATTATGCTATCGAATTTGTTTTTATTTCTTTATATAATATATGCATTCCTAAAGTTTAGAAACATTCTATACCGGTCTGGTCATTATGGTCATGTATCAGTATCTGGTTTTTGTCGGTCCGTGTATGTGTGTGTATATGTATATGTATAGATGAGTGGCTGAGAGAATGGATGGGTAATTGATGGATGGAGAGTGTGTGGTTATTTATGTGATTGGATGTGTAATTTTGTGTGCACGTTCCTCTCTCTTCAAAATTTATTAAAATAAGTATTTAATAATATCGCCCTGCAATAATATTTGCATTCGGTCATGTGAAAATTGTGCAAAACAGAAATATCCTAACAAATTTAAGAAATTAGGCTCTCGAGTGAACTCACAAATTCAAATAAATTTCGTGCCCTGTGCACATATTCAGTTTCATAGAAAACTTATTTTTCTATGAAACTGACGCACTGCCATCCGCGTTCTGGCTCTTACTAGCCCGCGATTATTTGAATCAGAAATATCCTTTTACACGTATGAAATTTGCCTTTTTATGTCTCCTGCTATTGTTAGTCAGTTTCAATAAATTACATATTTATATTTTCAAATTAAATTTGTTTTAATAATAATAAATTGGAGGTTTTTAGAGGTTTCCGTTATGTTAAAATGCAGACTGCATGTTATCTAATCAAAATATATGTATCTTCTTCTTTATTCTCTGTTTTCATTTCATGCATGCTTATTATATTAAACATATATACGTCTATAAGGTATCTGCTTTTCATCTCCATGTATGTATGTATGTGTTTCTGCATAAAAGACGTTTTAAAATCATAATTTTACAGAATTATAATTGTATAATATGAGGATTCTAATGCCGTTCATCATCATCGCATCAACCTATGGCGTTAATAATAACTTCCTAAATCTCGTCAAGAATTACGGTAATCCAACTGCAGAAGAGATCGAATTCGCAACCAATGCCAAGTACGACTTCATCGTCGTAGGAGCTGGATCGGCAGGTTCTGTATTAGCTAATCGTCTGTCAGAGAACAAAAGATGGAAAGTTCTGCTACTAGAAGCGGGATATGAGCAAAACTTACTCAATCAGATTCCGATACTAGTCGGTTATTTCCAATTGACTGATTATAACTGGGGATATAAGGTGGAACCTCAGAAGAACGCCTGTTTGGGGATGATAAATCACCAATGTTCCTGGCCGCGAGGTAAAGCTTTGGGCGGTACGAGTACTTTATACTACATGATTCATACACGCGGGAACAAATTGGATTATGATAAATGGGCTAGTTTGGGCAACGTAGGCTGGTCCTACGCGGATGTTCTTCCATATTTTAAAAAAAGTGAAAGATTTAATGTGCCAGGTAAGTCCGTTCTTTTTATCTTCCTAATAACATAATGTAAAATTCACCCAATTAAAAAAAATGCTTTCTCTCTATCGCTGCCATTTCTTATTGTATAAAGACAACTAATTTTTGCCCTCATAACTAATCTATCAAAATATTTGATATTATAACGAAACCTGTATTGCTGATAAAATACAATAGTTAAATTTATTCAGAAATATATTAATTTGTTGCTAACAATAATATAATTAAAAACATAAGAAACAACAAAATTTATTACTGCAATGCTTAACTGTGTATTCAAACTCGAGAAATAATACATCTTGAGAATATAAAAATAAGAGAATAATTATTAAAAGAGAGAAAAATAAGAGAATAATCATTGTATTGTGATATTATCATTTTGTTTAATTTTCCCAAATATCATTTGATATCAAGTTTTTGTATAAATTTATCATAGTAATAAAAAATTGTTTAAAAATTGTTCAATAAAAAATTTGTTTTTCCTGCAACAATAATGATATAAAAAATGTACGCCAATTAAATAAAGTATTATAAACACGCTACATTATTTATTTTTTTTTTATATAATATCATATATGTACCAATATTAAAAATTTTATATGCAATAAAGTGCAATATAATTATTATGTATTTTATTTGAATATTCGCGTATATATATTTTAATATAATTATAAAATCTATAAATATTTCCATACAAAAAATTTCCAAAAATACATATAATAAAACCATATATGTATCACAAAAATAATATAGAGTTAATTTAAAGGAACAATTAAATACAAATAGACTTTAGCGCTGCTATGTAATAATTTTTCTATATTATTGTATTGTATTTATTGTAATTATTGAATATAATATCTAATTTTTTCTCTTTTGCTCTCTTATTAATATATATAAAAAATTCTTTTTTATTATAACAGTTAAAAATTATTTTTCGTAACAGCGGCAAGTTTTTTTTTTTGAATTACCCATATCATTCTATTAATACATGTATAATTTTATTATATCTTTAGAAATTATTTATCTAAAAATATATTTCGTAGATTCACACAATCATATAAAATACATACATGCAAATAAAATACTCAAGTAAGATATAATATGTGTGCGATCGTGGCACAGAGAGTTGTGCGTCTACTCTTTATGCCGAAGGGCTCGGATTTAAATCCAGTCAGAAACATCGAATATATTCGATCGCCACTTCTCGGAAAGCAATGGCAAATCACCGAGAGTATCTTGCCAAGAGAACCTCTCTAATCTAGGCTGTTCAGAACCGGTGTTAAACTATAGGTCCCATATGTCTGCGGAAAATCATAAAAAGGCGCACACTGTAGACATATGTAGAGGGGTCCTCTGACAAGAGGTACGGGTTGGGAAGAAGATATAATACATAATTATACTGCACTATATTATAAAACCTAATAATTAATAGCTTTACAATATAATATAAAACAATATGTGATGATATGAAATAATAAATTTGTATATGTGCATAAATTAGTTATTATGTACATATTAATTATTAATTATTATATGCATAACTCTTTATTAAAAATTTCTGTCTTTTTTTACTGTTATTACTTTTTTAGTAAGAACAATTTTTTTTTTATAAAAGAGTGTAACAATATTTTTTGACGTGTGACTTTTGACGTTAATTCTTAAAAAAGTAATTTTTTTGTATCAGGCTTTTGTTAAGTCTCAAATAAAGATTAATAAGAATTATTTTTCGCCTATGTATATTTTCTTTAAACTTTTTCCGCTTAAATTTCAAATTGATTTATCTGAATAAAATTATTTTAAAATAGGTAGAAAATGCATAATATTTCTATATAAGAGAATCCAATCCTGATATTCTGTCTTGCAAAATTGAAAAAATGTCACAAATACCATGAAACTTATGACATTATAAAACGCTATTTCCATTTTCAGGTATCAAGAATTCTTCATATCACAATGAAAACGGTTACTTGTGTGTGGAACACGTGCCCTATCATACAAAGTTGGCAATGACGTATTTAGAAGCTGGTCGAGAATTGGGATATGAAATTGTGGATTACAATGGCCAGGATCAGATAGGTTTTTCGTATCTTCAGGTAAATATGGATCATGGAACGCGATGTAGCGCTGCCAAGGCTTATCTTCAGCTAAATCGGCCGAACTTGGAAATCATCACCGGTGCTAGAGTAACCAAAGTATTAATCAATGCGGACAAACGTGTGTACGGTGTTGAATATGTCAAAAACAATGTGTGGAAGACAGTCAGTTGTTCGAAGGAAGTTTTACTATCCGCCGGTACGATTGATTCAGCCAAATTGCTAATGTTATCAGGAATTGGACCTAGAGACCATCTAGAAAAATTAAACATACCAGTGATTCAGGATTCCAAAGTCGGTTACAACATGTATGAACACATCGGTTTTTTGGGACTGACTTTCATGGTGAACCAAAGCGTGTCATTACTGCAGAACAAGCTCATAAATCCTAGCGTATTGTTGGAATACGTCCTGCATAAGGAAGGAATAATGACGGTTCCAGGAGGTGCCGAAGCACTGGCATTTATCAGAACCAAGTACGCTCCTGATGAGAAACCGGATGTCGAGCTTCTCTTTATATCTGGCTCTCTGCATTCAGACAATGGTCAAGTCCTGAAAAAGAGCTTAAGTCTCTCAGACAATCTGTACAACACTGTCTTCAAGCCCATCGAAAATCAGGAAGCCTGGTCGATCTGGCCAATTGTTCAATATCCTAGAAGCGTCGGTCGTCTTACGTTGCAATCGAAGGATCCGTTCGAGCCACCCAAGATGGATCCAAACTTTTTCAGTCATCCGGCTGACATAGAAATCATCCTAGAGGGAATAAAACACGCTCTCAACATATCCAAGACTGAAGCCTTTCAAGCATACGGCAGTCGATTACACGACATAAAAATACCAGGCTGCGAATCATTTGATTTTGCTTCTGATGATTATTGGCGTTGCGCCATTAAACATCTACCATCCATGATGAATCACGAGATCGGAACCGCCAAAATGGGACCCAAGACGGATGTTTACGCAGTTGTTGATCCGCAACTAAAAGTGTATGGTGTTAAGGGACTTAGAGTAGTAGACGCTGCGATCATGCCCACGATACCTTCTGGTCATACAAATGCAGCAATTATTATGATCGGCGAGAAAGCCGCGGATATGATCAAAGAAACTTGGAAAAGCACATTATAAGAGAGATCTGTTCTCTTCTATGCAAAGATCAAAAGAAATTAAAAAAAAAATAATTTGATCATAGAGAACAATTAACAATAATAACACAGTAATAGAGATGGAAGCAATTGTAACAATAAGTATTAAGATGAGTAGCTCAATAGTATCGAGAAGATTTCAATTTGCAAATAAAAATTCAAGGATTCCGAAATAAAAAACATGGTCCCATATACAAGCTTATGTCGATTATTTGTTTAAATTGTCTGACAAATAATGGAAAATAATTGGTTGAATTTCTAAGATAAAATCATCGAGAGATAAAAATAAGGGAGTGAAAGGTAGTGGTCCTTGAATGGAAGTAGTCCTTGAGTGGAAGTGCTCCTTTCATTTCCTAAATTAAAGAAGGTAGACCACACAATAAATATATATTAAATTAAATTGTTCAAATTGAACTTTATTATGAATATAATAATCACTCATAAAAATTGTCTACGTTAAAAAACGAAAAAATATGCAAAATTTTGTTACAGTAACACATAGTGCGGAAATATTTTAATGTAATAAATAACATATATTGTACACACTTTGAATAGCGCTATATCTCGAATAAAGTTTTTTATGAGCAGACATAACATTCATGTCAAGTTTTTTATACTTATTTTTATCTTTCAATGATTTTATCTCTTGAAAATTCAATCAAATATATTCCTTTATTTATCGGACAATTAAAATAAATAATCGATAAAAATTTGTCTGTAGGATTATATTTTTTATTTCGGAATCGTTGAATTGCTTGCAGATTGAAACCTTCTCTCTCGATACTGTTCACTTATCTAGATTATTCATATTAATAATTAGAATTGCTTCCTATTACTGTGTTTATATCCGTAATTCTTAAAAACATGTGTATATATAGGATGTTTCAAAACAACCAATAATATTTAAAAATTAATAAACAGTGACAAAACATTTTTGAAACTGCAACCCATGTCCGGAAATGTCGCGTTTTCTCGTTACATAATAATAAAGTTGAGTTAGATTTTAAGGCTTACATTTATAATAATCGTTACTTAATTATCGTCTCAAAAGTATATCAGATGAGTCATTCAGATTGTAGTTTCATATACAGAGTTAACATAGAATTTCAATTATAAAAATAATATTATATGTATTATAGTTTTACAGGTTGCTGAATATGAATCCGCTATCAAAATTGATCAACTCAGAATGGTGAAATCAATATAGTGCGCGCAGATATGTATGTACACATATCAAATTTTTAAAAAAGATTTATTATTGATTTGTTTGAGGTCTTTTATTGATTTCGTTATTTTAAATTTGTCGAATTCGTATTTGGCGACTCTAGAAAACCCCTAAATTTAAATACACATATTGAAAATTATTTGATAAATCCTCAATGACCTATTTCACAATTCAGTAATTTTGCAAAATATTTAATAATAAATATTTTGTTAACCGTAAACGACACAACAAACTCCTTTTGAAGACTACAATTAACAACGTACTTAATATTAATTGCAATAAAACTAATTAAATTAAATTTCAGATTGATTTATTCGAATAAAATTATTTTAAAATAGATAGAAAATGCATAATATTTCTATATAAAAAAACCAATCCTGATATTTTGTCTTGCTAAATTGAAAAAATGTTACCATGTGAAACTTATGACACTTTATATATATATATATATATACAGGGTGCGGCATTTATAGTGACGCAAAATAGATATAATATTTCTATATAAAAAAACCAATCCTGATATTTTGTCTTGCTAAATTGAAAAAATGTTACCATGTGAAACTTATGACACTTATGACACTTATATATATATATATATATATATATATATTTCATTTGGCTATGTTCGACTT